ATTTGTGTGCTTAGTTTTCTCATAGACACCAAATGAATAATGCATAATCTCTCAAGAAATTCACAATGTTGAAAAGTCCTGTCTGTGGCTCAGTCTAATCAATTTCCAGGACTCTGTTTCTTTCCTTTGCTCACTAGCAATGTGCTAAAAGATTTCTACCACAATTGTCTCAGAGCTGATTTAAGCATCTTCTCCAAGCCAGGCACAAAAGAAAGTCACACACACCCAAGACAACCACGTCTTTCAATGGTTATGTGTTTACTTCTGATTTGGCAAACATTTCCATGGGTCATGTTGGTTAAAGGAATAAACTGCTCTGGGTATAACAGGAAACAGGCTTTCCTAGTTATACTGTCCCTCTACCCTTCCAAAGAAATTACTATATGTAGCAGATTTTGTCACCACTTCTGTGAGAGTAATACAATTCACTTAGAGATTTACTAGAAGATTCTGAAGCAAGAGCAAAATTATGCCCCAAGGTTTCAGGTAAAACCAGACAAGGTTACTACCAATTTTCCTAGCTGTTGTGGGAAAACTCCATAAGACAGGATTACTAGTCATAAAATGTTAGGTTGAATTCTTCCTCCACTGTTCTAAGAGATGACTTTACACAAATTGTTTCACGTGATATTTTAGGCTTTAGTTTCTCAACAGTAAAATGAAGCTCTTGTCAATTATTTTGCCATAATGTTTGGTGAAGAGTCAAGGAAGAGTAAATAAATGAACTTGGGCCTTCTATAGATAATATCCCCTTCTGGGATCTACATGGATTTATTAGAACATATCTACCAGCTGCTAATTCTCAGGAGCCGGGTATGAGCAAATATAGCCAGGGCCTATAAATAAGTTCTATGCTGATTCAGCACCCCAATGAGGCAAATTTCAAACAGGCCTAGTTAACAAAAGAAAATAACGGAAAGTAACACTGCTTAAAGCCTAGTGGCCTGTGTATTAGGTTTTCCACCGTTGTGTGATAAATTATCACAACTTAAAGGCTTAAACAGTATAATTTTCCATGGACCAACAGTCCAGGCTACCATGGTTAGAGTCTTTGCCTTGGGCCTCACAGAGCCAAGAACAACAAGAATCTACTTAAACTCGATTCCTTACAGTTTTAGGAATCAGATCCCTTTGCTTGTCAGATGGCAAAGAGATGGCTCTCTGCTTCCATCATCAAACCATCAATCCTGCATGAGTTCTTCTCACCTGGTCTCAGTCTTCTTCTGCACCAGTCAAAAACATGTCTTTATTTTAAAGGCGCGTGTCATTACATGTGCCTTGTATGGGTAATCCAGGACAACCACCCACCCTCCTTTAGAGCAAAGTGTTCTACAAACATAATCCAGGGAGTGATCTTTCTCTGTTCCCATAGACTCCAGGGGCTCAGTATATATCACTGGGATGTATTTTAGAAATTCTGACTATCACATCTGGTTACCCAAAAAGAAGTTAGCAACAAAGACCCATGTGTAGGAAAAGTTAACTATATTCATTCTATAACAAAAGGAAAAGTGGAAAAAATGTGTCCCAAACTCAAAATATTCATGCATTTAATCTAAGGAGCACAAAAACATGGAAAGATTTAAAGAATATAATTTTACAGGACTGTAAGAGAAGGTTTGCTCTTGATTGAACTTCCATTAATAGAAGAGAAAAACTGTAAAATACTCAAGAAATTTGGGTCAAAGATGAAAACAAAACTAGATAAAAATACAAAATCCATTCCTACAGAATGAAAGATAGCATTTTAGTGATCACTGAGGTTTTTTTTTTCCCTTAACATTTATTTATTTATTTATTTATTCATTGAGAGAGAGAGAGAGAGAGAGAGAGAGAGAGAGAGAGAGAGAATCATGCATGTGGAAGTCAGAGGACAACTTGGAAGAGTTAGTTCTCTCCTTCCACCATGTGGATCCTGGGGTTCAAACTTAGGTCATCGGGCTTAGCAGTAAGTGCCTTTACTTACTGACCCATCTTACCAGCCCATTGGGTTTAAAGAGTAGTCAGGCCTATACTGTTATAAATTACATAATAAAGCAGCATCATTTCTCTTCCTGGCAACAGTACTAAGGAATTTTCTTTTTCTTATGTGATTTCTAATAGCTCCATTATTCTAGGGATTCTTCCTTGTTACTGCAAGCTCTTAGTCCACGAGAATTTCTCCTATACCTAACAATATTCTCATCTCTACTAAACCTTAAGTATGGGACTGAGAGATGGCTCAGTGGTTAAGAGGACTGGCTGCTCTTGCAGAGGACCTGGGTTCAGTTCCCAGCACCCATATGGTAGCTAACAACCATCCCTAACTCCAGTTCCAGGGGATCCGACACCCTCTTTAGACCTCCGCAGGCAGTGCATGACATGGGTGCTGCTTACACACATTCAAGCAATACACCCATACAATAAAATAAAAAACAAACAAAAAGCCCTTAAGTATACTCATTTGATCATACAGAACTAATGCTATATCTACACAAAACAATTAGTCAATATACTCCTCAGTAATTATGCACCATACATCTGTTACGTACCACATTTTATATATAAAATGATAATTCTACAACATATTAAAATCACTTATATTAAAATTTTTAATATGCTGCATATTCAGTAACTTAGAAACCTGTATTTAAAAACTCGGACTGTTTCTCCCTTTGTTCTCTCAGTAAGATATTAGTGCTATGATGCCAAATCAACTTATCAGGTACAAATGTTTTCATATCATTCTTCTAGTTAACAATCTCACTAATTAGCTGTTCAATGGCACAGTCTTATATGGGTGAAAATAAGGTTTGATCTTTTTATTTCCTTAAACTGACTTCACATTTTGCACTAAGCATGTACTGACTAGGCCTTGGGGTTATATCCTAAGAACAGGGTTTTTTTAATTTTCCCAACCATGAAATGTTATTTAACTTTGTGACCCTCCCCTGTTATGAAATAAGATGTGGGCATGTAATGGAAGAGCTGACAGCAGGATGCAGGGCACCACTGACTACTTATCCTTCCTTTCTTCTAATATAGTCATTCTATGTACACCTTTTTATCCCTCTTGGAAGAAAATGTTCAAAAACTAAGTTCATAAAACTCTAGCTTAAATCTGTAAAATCAAAGGTTATAATGTTCTCATATTTCTCCTCAAAAAAATGGGAAGAGGTAAGCAGCAGGAATACTTCAAACAAGGCGTAACAGTGAAGGGAACAAGCAGCAGCAGCAGCAAGAGCAGAAAGAACTGGATACACAAACTCTTTAGGACACCGACTCAGTACTGCACCATTAACTGACAATTAGTGATTAATCAATTAATAATTAACAATTATTCCCAAGACTAATTGGAAATGTGGCGTTGGGAAAGGAAAGGGGAGAGATGTCATTCACTAAGGCTGAAAACACTGACGGGGGGGAAAATGAATACAGATTGAGACACCACAACTTTGAGAGGCCCAGCAGGCACAGTACAGACACAGACAACTGAACATACGGATGAGCTGTCAGCTCACCAGCAAGACTAGGAATCCTTGGGACTGGCTCACCAAGGAAAGCCCTTAAGGAAAGCAGGAACTGGACAAGGCCACAGCCTTATGCTACCCAGTATTAAGGAGTAGGGGGAACGGAAGGAACTTGTGAAAGAAAGTTAAGGGGAGGGAACCAGAATGACTGGAGGAAACAAAACACACTGTGATGGAAGTCAGGCAAACAACTGACTCAAGAAGAGAAAGTTCCCAGTGCAGAACACTAAAGGAAATTCTAAAGCTTCTACACAGGCTTTGGGATTCACTGAAATGAAGTTATTAAATGGTGGTGGAGGGGGAGATGGGACAGTTTCACGATGCATTGACAACTACAAGACAAGGAGGAAAAGAAGATGAGCATTGAAAACTCCTCTTTCCAGGGTCTTCCCATAAAGGGTAAGAAGAGAGGCTGTCTGGTAAGAAGCCAGTGATGAAAGAAAGGTTGCTGCTACCAATCAGAGAAAGGAGAAGAAAGTACCATCTACAGGCAGGAAGTGTGGGATCTAGGGAAGAGGCACAGTGAGGACGCACCCTGTTCTCCAGGAAGTAAGAGGGAGAGCTCACCTGCTAATGTACGAGAGTGAGAATCCCAACCGAGTGGAAGGGCACAGAACAGGAAAAAACAGCAGCAAATGCAGAAGAAACAGAAGAAAGAACTGACTGAAGACCAACAGAGGAACTGAAGAGTGGTGCCAGTCCATAAGCTTGTGGGGTCTGTTTTCCCCAACCGGGCATGGCAGCCTAGAAGCAGATATAAGGAAAGGAGGATTTTTCCCTCTGTGCACGTTTGCTTGTGTGCACATGAATGCGGGTCAGAGGACAACCCTGTGTCATTCCTTAGGCACCTCCACTTTTGGTTTGATACAGGGCCTCAGATTGGCCTGGAACTTCGCTAAATAGTGTGGGCTAGCAGGCCAGAGAGTTCCAGGGATCTGCCTATCTTTGCCTCCCTGGAATGAGGACAATGTCACTGTGCCTGGTTCTTTGTGTGGGTTTTGGGGATCTGAACTCAGGTTCTCATACTCTAGACAAGCACTTTACCAACTAAGCCATCTCCCCAGCTCCAGCAGTTGGTTTTCATCAGTACCTAAGTTTCTGTCTAGACAATGGCCAAGAAACAGAAAACAGGGCCTGGCAAACTTCCTGTCAAGGGTCAGATGCCAAATATTTTAGGCCTTTCACATCTTCCAGTTCCTGTTATACATCCTCAGCTCTCCTGCTGTGGCCCACGAGCAGCTGAACAAGGCGCACGCAAACAGGCACAGCTGTGTTATATATACAACCAGATCCAGGTGGTGGCTGGATTCCACCTGCTGTACTTTACCAAGCCCTGGCTTAGGAGAAGGAAGTAAAGATACAAGAGGCTAAATATCAGAGGAATGGATAAGCTCAAACTTTGAAGAATTGAAGAACTGGAGGCTAAAATGAAAATTTATGGCATGAATAAACTGAAACACATGTTAGAGCTAACACCGTCCATAAACAAACCTTTGAGCCTATTTCACAAACATCAATGGGATCGTTATCTCCACAGCAGTCTGTATTCTTATCTCTTTGATGAGGATCTTCCCAAGTCTAAAAAAAAAACCAGCAGAAATGTAGGTTAAGACTCACTGCAATGTATCTTATCTTTCCACATGATCATGAAGCTTTATAGACAGCCATAAACCAAAGGAAAAAGGAGCCAATGTGACAAGGCTCTGGGCCAACACACCAGCACATCCCTTAGAATCATGATAATTAAAACAGGTTTACAGTATTTCCTTCCTTCTGTCTCTAATTTGTCTGTGGAATCACATCTGAAGGTGGGTGGCATTTCCAGACATACTCATCTTCCACGTTTAATCAGTGGCTGAGTACACATTCACAAATCTCAGAGTTTCAGTCTGAATGGTCCTGGGGCCCTTGTTTCTGTGTTTCTTCTGACTGCCAACAGTGCTTCTACCACTCATGCCCCCTCTGACACGACGGCAGCCAGCAGGTCCAGCTTCCCACATTTGAAATGAACTTCCTTTTTTGTTACGTCTTCTACTTCTATAAACAGTGTTCCTTCATAAACAAGGACAAGGAATTATTACTACAGAAAAGAAAATCCTAGGTCTTCTCTCACTCCCTGAAAAAAATTCTCAATTTTTGCCGTTAAATTTCAAGATCCATACAAAAATGCTCTACAGTTTACTGGAAAGATTATGCCACTGATTACAAAGTATATGTTGCATTTTTGTAAATGAATAGCATAAATGGAATTTGCTATCAATTTAAAATTTTCTCAAGCTTTGCCACCTCCCAAAAGTTCATAACTGCTTGACTCAGAATCAACCTACAGAAATTTACTAACATTATTTGCCTTAAATTTATATTACAAGGGATGGAGGCATTATGTCACCTCAAGATCCAGTTTATCACTATAATCTTGCCATTTGGATTATCTAAGTTTAGTTTCTCAATGTTACATAGGTTAGCTAAAAATGCATACTTATTTACAGGCAACTCTAGATAAATGCTACAATATTTTCCTTCTAGTCCTAACTATAGTACATCTATTGATCCAACCTTACTTTAAAAAGAATCAGTTCCAATAAGCATACCCGAATACTAATACTACTAATAAAATATCAGAATAACAACTATAACTGTTTACCTTACATGCTGGTTATAGGTGACAGACACTTTTTAGTGTCACACACAAATACACACGCGCTGTGAGGAACATGCCAGTATTCACACCATTTTACAAATAAAAACAGTGCTTACACTGGCCAAAGCTCACAGAGTTTCTAAATAGCAGAGATAGGGTTAGAATCCATAGCATTAATTTAGGGCATTCAAAGTTCAATAACAAAAGCAGGTTCCATTTTGTGGTTCTCTTTTTTGAAATGCTTTCTCTTACTCTGGACTTTCCTGTGTACATCTTCCTGTGAAGTTCTGTTCTTCGTTAACCTTCCCGTTACTGCTGCTTCCTTCCTTCCCCCATTACAGGTATGCACTCATATGGTAAAACATTGAGTACCTACTCAGGGCCAGGAGTAGAGGCAACTAAGACAGGCTTAATAACCCGGAGAGTGTTGTGTTAACAGATACAGCATTTGTCACAAATGCCAATATCACTAATCTCAATGTGCAGAGGAAACCAACATACAGTGAAGTCATAGAGAATCAGGCAATCTAGATCATAAAGTCAGAAAACACCCATGATTTCCTCTTTCCGGCAGTAATCTTCCATAGAGAACAAAGGAAATAAGCTAGAAACTGGCTTATAAGAAGACAACTACCTACTAGTCCTACCTCAGCAACAAACTACTTTGACTAAAACATCTAGACCTTAGTTTTATCAGCTATACAAATAATAGCTCCCGGGGCTGGAGAGATGGCTCAGTAGTAAAGAGCACAAGCTGCTCTCCCAAAGGACCTGAGTTTGCTTCCAGCACCTACACTGGGCAGCTCACAACCACCTATAACTCCAGCTCCAGGGTATCCACAGGCACTTGTACACATGTACATGGCATACAAGCACAGAGACATACACACAGGCACACAAATAAAACCAAATCTTAAGAATGGTTCCAGTAAGATAATCTTCAGATACATCCTAGCCCTAAAGCTCTGTGACTACGAGTTATAACCTGCATGTACACTGCCAGTGAGGAGACACTTACAGATTCATGAGATAATTTGACCTATATCGATTCACATTAATTTCAAGAAAGTCTGTCCTCATATTAAATCAAAAACTTGTAATATGTGCAATATGGTGTTGGTGAGTTTTTCTTACGGACCACCTGACTGCATTCACCCTCACTACTCCCCTTTCAGTGTTGTCAGTTTACTTCCCAATGGTTAGGAAATAAGAGTACATATGAAATATTCTTCAGCTATACAATGCTGTTAATTTTACAGTCATTTCATCCTGATTTCCTGTACCAGTAAAAACAAACAACAACAAAACAGACTGGTTGTAGTACCATCTCTGCACACATAGGCTGTAGTTTTATTTACAAAAATACATATTCATTAACCTCATTTTAGCTTGGAAATATAGCATAATTTCAACAGGAGAGAAAGACTTGAACAATTAAACTATGAGAATGCCCTCTTGTGGAATTTGGGGTATATAACTGGGCAGAGAGAATTAGAAAAAGCAGTCAGACTGCTGAAGCATCAAGACAAAGTTCAACTCTTCTACAACTAAATAAGAAAAAAGGGCAACTGAGCCAAAATGGACTGAAGCCATAAACAGGTAATTCAGAAAAAAATGAAATATGAAGGATTTGTAAATGTATGGAAAGTCACTAGTTTATGAAATATAAATTAAAACTACATTCCAACACTATTTCAAAGAACCGAAAGCTCTGATGACCAAATAGTAGAGGGGATGCAGGGCACCTGGAACCTTCTGTACCACTGGTAAGAATCTAAAGTGCCACAAGTTCTTCTATAAATAATTTGAGAATACTCTGTAAAGTAGAATGGATATATAACTCCCAACTTAATTCATAGATACACATCTAAGAAATAGATAATCTAAACAGAACAAAATTCTTTGCATGGAACCAAGAAGAGTATTAAAAAGCTAAAAAACCATCAAGAAGTGATGACTAGAGGCTAGAGAGATGGCTCAGCAGTTAAGAGCACTGGCTGCTCTTGCAGAGGGCCTAGGTTTGATTCCCAGCACCCACATGGCAGCTAACAACTGTTCTTAACTCCAGTTCCAGGTGAGCCAACACTCTCTTTTGGCTTCCAATGGCACTGCACAACACAGGTGCACTTACATACAGGTAGGCAAAACACATACTCACATAAAATAAAGATAAAATCTTTTTCAAAAGTGATGACTATAAATCTATGAATATTAAATCAGAATACACAGATTATCCTAAACAACCGTTGTATAGGAATTTGAGATCATCATCTTGCAACCTGTGAGTACTAACCAGCAAGTACAATTGCCATGCTCTGGCCCTTACTAGAAAATAGATGTATATGCAGGCAGGTGGTGACAAGTTCTTGCTGTTGACCCAGTATTCACATCACCAAATTAAAGAAGCAAGAGTTACTCATCCCCCACTTCCAGCTGGAGCAACAGTATTATTAGCAGCTAATAATAGTAGCAACGGCCTCAACACTGAGCTAATGCTGCTGAGAACTCATTGTACAGCTAAGTGCTGCCTCGACCACCTCCTTCATTACAATACCCTTGTGGGATAGATGGCATGATCACACAGAGGAACAAACAAGCCTCAGTCTCTTATCTTGGGCTCTAAACCTAACAAATAACACTGTATAATCTTTGTGATCAATGACTCAAATTTATAATAAAACTCAAAATAATAAACACATCAATTTTGTATTCATATTTAAGAGAAATCCTGAATTTAAAGTGAGACTAGTCCTTAACAGTACCCATATAAGCATTCTAGATATTCACTCAGAGAAAGGGAACAGCAGAGTGACCAGTTAAATGGGGATAACCGAAGTAAACTAAGAGCAGACACAGATTATTTTTACTCAAGTCAAAGTAAAAGTTTGAGGAAGGCACCCTGTGGGAGAAGTTATTACAGTTAAGAACGTAGGCAGCTAAAGGTCTAAGATAATGATAGCACATTAATGTCACAAGCTAAGTAGAATTATTTCTACTTAGTGTTCTGCTGTTTTTTCAAGCAGCTGGCTTGACAACTGTTCTCAACAAATCTACTATTACAGGTCAAATCATAAGGAATGAGCAAACTTCAATATCTATATATGCCTGTGAAACAAACACTACACAATTAATTCATTAAGTTATTCATACCAAAATATTTACTGTTGTGCATAGGGGCACATACCTATAATCCTAGAATTTGGAAGGTGGAGGCGGGAAGATCACAAGTTTGAGGCCAGCCTAGGCTATATAGCAGGACCCTATCCCAAAAAACTGACAAAAAAATAATTACTGATCACCTATTCAGTGCCAGGAAGCAAACTGGTCAATTAACATATAACCACAAACAATACAGAATCCCTGCTCTAATAGTCTGCATTCTAGCCAGAAGAAATTGACAAGAGGCAAACAAACAAATAAAACATACAGCCAGTTACAATTTGGTAGGCATTAAGAAAGAGGGGAAATAAAGTCTGGAAATAGCAGCTAGAGGAGGCGCTCTTGAAGATGAACAGGAAGCTTGAAAAACATCACAGGGAAGATGACGAGAACAAACACTTCAGGAAGTAAGCTCTGTGTGCTGGAAAAGAGTATTCCAAAGAGAAGGCAGTGGCTGTGGAGACTGAAGCAGGAGTCTGCTGGAACTCCAGAGGGCCAGCAGGGAGCTAGGGGTGGGGAGAGGAGGGGGAGCCTGTGGAGACGTGGAGACAAGATCAAAAAGAAAGGACCAGTTGTTGGCCGGCCGTCATTCTAACAGCACTGTCTGATCATTAACAAGCAAGCAAAAAAAAGATAATACATAAAATTATCCCTTCCCATGAGCAATCTATACCATTTGAGCTTTAAAAAAATCCATTTAATTTAGTTATACATGGGCAATAACTGACACATACTCTGTAGCAAAGCGATGCACGCAGGCACGCATGCGCACTGAAATCAGTTTCAGTAAGGCTCTCTGGATGAAAACTACAAACGTGCAGGTCCACCTCCCTCCTTCCCCTCCACTCTTCTCCAGCACTGGGCAGGCCCCTGACCTTGCTGCTTCCTTCTAACTGCTGTGCTCCTCTTCCTCTCAATGGCTCTATTTGCTCTCTTGCTTCCTTTAGGTCTTCACTCAAACAATGCTGGGCTCTCCTCCCCATCTAAATGGAAACAATCCTTACACCCCAGCCCTAGTCCCTGCCTTACTTCCCCCACTTTCTGAACCACTCAGTGTTTGGAATGAGAACACCGCCTGGCAAATATCAAGCACTCAACAACTGAGTACTGAATGAAGCAGCAGCACTACCAAGACCTGGAGGTTAAAAATGCTGGGCAGGCTGCATGGAGCAGGTGGGGGAGGGGCACTGCAAAATGAGTGTGGAGTCAGCAGAGGCTCTACTGGCCATGTAGGCAGGGACAGGTAAGAATTTTGGACTTCATCCTTTTAGCAGTAGGAAACCACTGGGCTCTTGAATGGCAAAATATTTACCAGACTCTTGTTTCTAAAACATCATCTTAGATGTTGGATGGAGTGTGAAACTTATGTAGAGTACATAGTGAATTAAGAGACTGCTACAGTTTAATTCAGTAGAATTAAGAGAACAACTGTATCTAACAGACTAAGCTCAGGGCAGATAAGAACACCTTAAAATCCATACACAGGAGCAGCACAAAAGTTTACCCGGGCTTGAGATAGAAAGCAACAGAAGCTTGTCCATTTTTAGCCTTCATTGCATACCGCTTCCTTTCTCATTAGTAGGTCTGCTTTTTAAAAAAAGGCAGGAGGGGAGGGCGGGGTTGAGACAGGGTCTTGCTAGCCTAGGCTAGACTCAAACTTGGAACAATCTTCCTGCTTCAGCTTCTCAAGTGCTATTTTTACAGGCATGTACTTTCATGCCTGGCTTTGCCTTATCTATCTTATTTTATTTTTTATTTGTTGTTTTGTTTTGGAGAAAAAAACCTCCAGAATCAATAAAAGTGTTAGTAGTACCAGTCATGCTTAGTAAGTAGTGACTTAGTTGTCAATTGTTCTAATCAAACTGCAAATAACTTCAGAAAAAGAACGGTTGATACTAAGTACTGGTCATCAAAACAGAAGCACCACTGCTAGTAAGAGTACCATCGTTAGCATTATTCTGCTGACCATTACTCATCATTACCTCAGCACAGCCATACACAGTAGAGGGCTCAATCTCTCCATTGTCAGATGAAGAAAGTGAGGCAGAAACAAAGAACCTTGCTCAAGGTCACTGAGCTAATGTGACAGCGTGGCTCTTAAATCCACATTCTCAATCTTTGTGCCTACTGTGCATGTCTGCTTACATGCCCGATCCCTAACATACCGCCTAGTACACAGGTCCTGAAAAAGCCTCTAAAGAAATGAACACCAACTATTCAACTATACTCTACTATACACACACACACACACACACACACACACACACACACAAAAATCAACCAATTTTTTAAAATGTATTATATTTGAGGAGGAAGCATGGAAATTTATGTCATGTTAATTAGCAGAGGGGATAAGTATTACCATTGAAATCTACCCAATGACTTTATAGACATACACAGGTGCCAAGGAGATCCAAGTACAACCGATTATGACTATTAATAATCAGATACATACAGAATAGAGATGCGTGCGCCAACATCTCAGTGTTACTAGCAAAAACAATGAGTCTTTCTGCAAGGAACAATATATTCTAAAATGAAATGGAGCTCCTTTTTAAAGGTTAAAAACTCATTCAATTTTATATCTTACAGGGCTTATACTGAGTTCAATATTGTATAACTGTATTAGTTCAACTGTGAACCTAGAAACTCCACAGCCACTTGCGAAAGAGATATATCCTTGCTCTGGAAATTGTTACCAAAAAAAAAGGGAAAAAAAAAAAAAAAAAATAAACTTGAAAAAAAAAAAAAAAAGAAAGAAATGAACACCAGTTCGCCCCTAACTGCTCTACTTTGGCTGCCTCTGTCTGGAAGTCAGTGGCTTCTGTGTCCCACCTCTATGTACATATCCTCACCTCCCCATGATCTAGGCGCTACAGAATTGTTCTTAACACTTCAGCTAGGTTCAGCAGAAGTCACGACCCCTGTTGTCTGTCCTGTCTGCCAGGCTTCAGCTCACACTCTCAGTCTTGGCCATCATTTGAGGAGTGCCGAGTCTAACCAAGAATGTATCCATGTGGGTGGCCTAACTGCATCAAAGGCAGGCTTTCTCTAAAGCTTTCTGGTCCTGTGAATGTTTATCCTAACTGGACAGCTGTTTTCCTCTGCTGTCCTTTTTCCAGACAGTCCCCAAGTAAAATTTCATGTAATTGAAAATTTAAAAATATAATTGTTAAATTTCCAGACAACTGGTGACTCAAAGGGTTTGTGACCATAAATAAAACTGTTTCATTCTGTCTCTAAAACCCAGACTTTGAATCAGATGAACTGAGTTTTACTCACATAAATAATCAGGAAGTTTTCACAGGAGTGAGAAAACTGAGAAGTGAATGAAAAGGGCAGGAGTGGACAGGAAGCAAACAGCAGGCGACATTCTCCAACAGGAGTGCAGACTTGCATCACTTCACCCTGACTGCCTTGTCCTCCATTGAAATTATCAATTCATGACACTCAATACTATAAGTAAGCTAACTCAATTCACCTGCTTTGAAAATAAAGCAACTTAAAGGACCCACCTATCAGAGTTTTAGAAAATAAAAATCATCCTCTGGTGTAGAAATATATGTATAATTAAATGATTACACAAAAACTTGCTTAAAATTTCTCTTTGACAACAGCTAAGCCCAGCTAAGCCCAGAAAAAGAAATACGTTCACATGTCAAATGTGACTCTTCTACATGTTGGACTCCAAGGACTTGAGTACAGACATGTTGAAGTAAAGTTTACTGATAATAATAGAACTCCAAATTAAAAAATTTTAAAACACAAATCTCTCAAACTGCTATGTTCTAGGAACCAATTTAAATTCAGGCAGTTCAGACTTTACAAGGCAATTTTTAAAAAGACATAGAAGTTTTAACATTATAACAAAAATGTTACCTGAGGGAGGGCCCCATAATTCCATATATAACCCTTGTGAGGGAAGATATTTGGCGTGTAACGTAGCTTTCCATTCTTTAAATCTTGTTTAATGGGATTCAGCGGCTCCTCAGTGGCAATCTAGGTAGATCACAGGGAAAAATACGGAGGGAGGGGAGTGAAATCAGCCCTATACACAAACAGCAGCTTTTAAATCTTCATAGTGCAACCAAAATATTCATATTCCAACTGAATGATCAAAGATGCTTTAAAAGTAAACTTAGCCAATTCTTATTACTAATTTATAGTGCTATGTAAGAAAAACTTTCAGAAATGAAACACTTGATTACATATTTAGGCTCAATAGTATTTATGTACTGCATTGTTTCTAATGCAAACACTAAGATGATTGAAATATCAAGAGGGTAAAAGTAATTAACTTGCTTTTTGTTGCTAATCATTGGGCTTTTGTTGCTAATAGTCTTATGATAATATAGTTAAGTCAAAGATTTTTACCACAGTAAGGGGAATGGAGTTCAGAGTTAGTTAGTCTGAAGTTAAGAGCACCTGCTTCACAATCATGAGGACCTGAGTTCAGATCCCATCACCCATGTAACAAGCCAGGTGCCCCACAAATACATGTAACCACAGCTCTAAGAGGGATGGAGACAGAAGGATCATTGGAGCTTGCTGCCTCCCAACCTAGATGAGACAGAAGCCCCAGGTTGAGGGAGAGACCTTGCCTCAAAGGTACAGGTAGGGAGTGACAGAGGAGGACCCAGCACTCTCTTCTGACCTCCATGGCACCTGTACACAAACATACACACCACACGCACATACATAAATAATAATTTTTTTAAAGAATCAAGAATTTTACTATGATGAGAGACTGAAAGCCTTTCCTACAGAGCTCACATGAGTGGAGAATGTTCAGTCTTGCCACTTTGACACAGCATGTTGGAAGTCCTTGCCAGAACAGTTAGGAAAGAGAAATAAAAGGCATCCAAGCAGGAAGAGTGGGAGTAAAACTGTCACTGTTTCTTGATAATACAACCATAAGTATAGAAAACCCTAAAGGTTACACGCACACACACACGCACACACGCACACAGCAAAATAAATAAATGTTTAATAATGGCAACAAAAAAATAAACAATGAAAGTGTGCCATGCTAGTAAGAAGGACTACTATAAAAAAACTAAAGATACTAAGTGCTGGTGAAGATGCACTCCTGTGTACTGTCTATAGGAATATAAATTAGAATGGCCACTATGTAAAACAGCACAAAATTTCTCCAAAAAACTAAAAATCGAACTATGAACCAGCAGATCAATTCTGCTCTTGAATGCACAGCCAGAGGAAAGGAAATCAACATGTTGATGTAGAATCCACATGGTGCGTTTATTGGAGCACTTCACTCTTCACAATAGCCAGGAAGTGAGAACAAGACCCACCAACTGATGAAGGGCTAGAGAAAACGTGCTCCGGAGACAGCTGCTCTCCTAGAGCATGAGAGTACGGCTACCAAAGGCTAGGAAGAACAGGAGGGAAGAAGCACAGGCCAGGGCTGATGACTGAGTAGTCAGTTATCAAGGAACAAGAAGCTCTGCTGTGCTATTTGTTCACAATCACAGAAAAGAGTGTGTTGTATATTTCAACAAGGAACACAGTGCCAGACAGGAGAAACCTCCCTTCCAGGGAGGCCAGGGTGGTCCAAGAGACTCTCAAAACAACACAGGCTATTGCCACAACCCTTGATTACTTTCTAGAACTTGAAGGTAAAACCCTATTGTTGAAGACAAGGCATACTTCAGATATAGGACTTGGAGCAATGGAGCTGGAACTGACCTAGAAACCTCTTGGAAGACTAGCTCTCATAGTATCAGAGCATACTATGCAAGCTGCTAAGGAAGAAAATCAATCAATGGTCAAATCCAGCTGTAAACACTATTAACCACAATGACTGGCACAGCAAACTACCCCCACTGGTGCAGTAGTAGCACTTTTATCTGGGAGGGAATCAAGAGCTATCTAACTGGACTTAAAGCCCTCTCAGTGGGAGGGAACTCATGGATGGCACTGTAAATATAGCCAAATACATATGGCTGGAGAGGTCACAGATTCTAGAGGAAACCCTATTTTTGTCATATCTCTAGACAAATAAAATTTCATAGTATATGATAAATATGGATCCTTATATTTACAGAGAAGCATACCATACACCATTCATCAAAGAAGCTTCTTTTTGCAACAGATGGAGGCTACTACAGAGTCCCAAAATGGTTGGACACAGAGACTATATGTCTGCAAGATTCCAGCTCTAAGTGACACATCTACAGTGGAACCTCTACACCTAAGGCTCATGGAACAGCAGAACAGGGTCTAGAGAGAATACTAATACATACCTCAACTCTTACCAGTGAAGCTTCCTCACACAACAGGGTGTGATTAACACAAAAGCTCACAACTAGCCAAGTTTTAGAGACTGCAGAGTGTGTGTCACCCATGGCTCAGGGAACATTACAGAAGAGGGAGCAGAAAGACTATAAGAGCCAGGGTTGGGTTGGTGCATGAACATAAGGAAACAAAGGCTTTCAGGCCTCTGAGAACTTGCTCATATGAACTTGCAACAATGGTGTCAGCATGCATAAGACCCATGCCAACTCAGTCAGACAAAAACCCAGAACAGATCTTCAGAAATGAGCAGCAGACCCCAACCCTAGCAGAGGAACTATTGGCAACGGATTATTAAGGGTGAAGGATAGTTGATCATCTTTAAGGGAGTGACTCTAGATAGGCTGCCTAGACTCCAGTGGAAGAACTTGCACCGAGGGACATCTGGGTACAAATCCTTGACCGGAAATCCTATACATAAGGATATCCTTAATGTATATGACAGGATGCATGAAATCTGGGGGAGGGCCTTTTGGGGTTCATATGGGGGAGGGGGGTCTAAATTTGATTAAGATCTATTATGTGAAATGTAAACAAACAATAAAAATATTTTTTTAAAAAAGAGTTACAGAAAGGGATTTTGGGAATCATCACTATGAAGAAATGATATGTGTTTACAGAGATATGTTTAGCATAATTAAAGTATTATATATCTATTTAAACATAACACAGCATTCATAAACATGTACAATTTTGTGATTTTATGTATTAAATAAAAGACAAATTTTAATTAAAATTTTAAAGGTGAGTAGAATGGTGGTTACAAAGGCTAGTGTGTTTTGATGACTAAAATTATTAACATTTTAGACAAAGTAAGATTTTTTTTGTATTTTTTTTGAGAACTATTGTACACGGTAGTGAATACAGTTAACAGTGTACATTCAACAGTGTACATTTCAAAATTGCTAAGAGAGTAAAAATGTCAAAGGTTCTCACCACAAAAAATATTTCAGATGATATTTTGGTTAATCTAATTTAATTTTTTCATGTTCTATTCATAAATCATATCACTTTAAACTCCACAAATACCTATTTCTCATTTACAATAAGTTCTTTAAAAAAAATCAAACAGATCCTTCCCAAGCGATTTCATTTCACAGTTTTCTTTTTTTAAATATATTTTATTTATTATCTTTATTTTATGTGAATGAGTGTGTTGCCTCCATGTGTGTTAAGTGCACCCATGACATGCAATGCCCAGGGAGGTCAGAAGAGGGCATAGGATTCTGATGGAACTGGAGTTACAAACAGATGTTAGCCGCAGTGTGGGTGCTGGAAATTGAACCCAAGTCCTCCACAAGAGCAGCCAGTGCTCTTAACTATTGAGCCATCTCTCCAGCCCTCTAAGTTATTTTTCTATCAAACATGTTTATATCATCCCTCAAAAGGAATAAAAACTGGTCTAAAATAAACCAACTAAATAATGAACTAACTAAAAGAAAAAAAGTACCACAAATTAGATTCCACTCAGAGCTGTGAAGGATCTAACCTGACGAAACAGTGACAAGCAAAAGAGGTGTTCTTGACAGGTTCGTGTCTCATGGAAAATATTAAAATTAAAATCATTTCTTAAAGCTAACAATGGCGAAAGTAGATGCTCTTAAATAACATTCACATACTTGGGGAAAAGTATTAATTCCAGGCAAGATAAAGTCTAGAGGAGAGCTAAATCCTCAGAAATCCAAAACTCCATCAGCATCAGACAAACACTTCATTTGTGTGTATAAACTAAATATGTGACAGAGTTTAAATAAAACTTAAAAATATCAAAGAAAGGGCAGACAAAGAAAATTACACAGCTGGGTGTGGTGGCTCACACCTTTAATCCCAGAACTCTGGAGGCAGAGGAAGGTGGCATTCCAGGCCAGCTGGGGCTACAGGGAGACCCTGTATCAAAAATAAAAAAATAAAAAATAAAATAAATTACATAAATATGGGCCTAAAAATTGAAAAGAAAAAACCCACTCACTTTAAGTGAATATTCACTTCAAAAATTTTTCTTCAAAATTAAAGTCTAAGTTCACAAGAATATTTTTAATTATTCCAAATATACCAAACAGCTATAAACAATTTCAATGTTATATCTGTACCTCCATTTTAGCATTTGTCCACCGAGGTATCTCCACAACCATATTAAACAAATTCTGCAGTTAAAAAAGAGAGACAACATTAAAACTTTTATTTATTTATTTATTTATTTATTTTTCACTTGACATTGGGGAACCTTATGCTAAATGAAAAATAATACAGCATTTAATAAAAGAATAGTGCAAGTGTTCATTACACACAAACACACAGACACACACACACACACACACACACACACACACACACACACACACGTTTAATGCCTGTCTTAAACTCCTTGCAATCAGACAGGCTGTCTAGCAGCGTAGTGACTTCACACATCTGAGCCCTGCTGCCCTGCACAAGAGGCTGCAGACCACCTGTTCTCAAGCACCTCTACAGTGCATAGCAGAACTGGAAGGCAGCTAATGTGTTTTCATTTTCATTTTCTGGCTAAAAACAGCGAGAGATCAGGTCCTCTATATAAGCATTCGGCCTCCATTCTCCACCCTGGACCACTTCTGCCCACTCATGGCAGGAGAATAAGGAGGCATTGCATAATTTAAAGGAACACATATAGAAAAACATCAAGTCAAATATTTTGAAAATTATGCAAGAGTACTTATACCCAAGCCATACTCATAAAGTGAAGGATATCATTATAGGCAGTTACATAGTTTATAAGGAGTTAGACCTGCCTTTCTAAAACAAAATTAGTGATTTTGGATTCTGTAAATTTGCAAAAGGGCCACGGCTTTTCACTTTCATATTTTGTAGAATGCTTAAACCAATGGAGATTCTGGGTCAATACTAAGTATAGACAATTCCCAGAGCTTATCTTACAAAGAGAAAGCCTTAATATTAAAGGTAGATTGCACAAAGGTAAAGATACTGTGCTGATGTCAGAAACAAATGGTCCTGGAGAAGCAACGGTTTTAAACAGCTTTTCAAAGCATGGCCCAAGCCCAGGGCCAGTTTGCAACCAACTGTTAAGTGGATCACTTAGAAACATTGTGTCTAATTGACAGCAATTTCCAGGTCTACTGAATCTAATAATCAAAAATTGGAACGTGGAGCTGGAGAGATGGTTCAGCGGTTAGGAGCACTGTCTGCTCCTGCAGAGGACCTGGGTTCAGCTCCCAGCACCCATAATAGCAGCTGACAAATGGAGCCCATAACTCCAGTTCCAGGGGGTCTGAACTTTTCTGACCTTCATAGGCTGGCCTCCATCCCACAAAGATCCACCTGCCTTTGCCTCCCCAAGTGCTGGGACTAAAGTCATGTGCCACTATGCCCAGCTTATTTAAATTTTTTATTTATTATTTTTATTTTATATATATATGTGTATTCCCTGTATATATACATATAGGTGTACCCGTGTCATGCAGTGCCCAGGGGTCTACACAGCAAGTGCCAGGGCAGCTAGGGCTACAGGGAGACCCTGTCTCAAAAAAGACCAAATAAATAAATAAATAAATAAATAAATAGGGAACAAGGTGAATTAATTACCCTTACAAGGTAAACAAAGTTGAGACCGAATTCTCAACACCTGCTCCTCATAAGGATGCCTCGAACCAGCATCTCATACTCCACTGTTTCATCTCTGCTCTTCAATGAGGTCCCCTCACCCTTTTGTTTAAATATTCCTGAGAAAAACCTAAGTGCATGACAGATGATGACACAATTTATTCACCCTTAGAAGCCTGGCTGCAAGAACAAATGCATGTGGATAAATACAGAGATGGAAGAGGGTTCCACGCCAGGGGCCATGTTGGACAATGATGCCCACCAAAGCCAAATGAGCGACAAGGAACAGGCCTGAGCTTCAAGCCTACAAGCCACACTCGATCTCCATTCTCCCCTGATCACTGCTGGCTCTGGCCCACATCTGTGTTCTTCAGCTACAATGCATTCTTCCTGCAACGTCGCAAAGCCCAGGTGAGTCTGATTTTGTCAGAAAATCAAAAAGGGTACAAATCAATCAGAAAAATGGAAGGAGCATCTAACCCTTCCGCTGGTCTTTTTCATTGTTTCTCCTTGAAAATGAATAATAAAATTTAAAAAAAATACTAATAACATATGGAAAAGCCATCATTGAGCCTTATGTACTTAAAAAGAAAAAAAAAAAAATAGAAGAAATCACCCTTCTTGTCTCCCTGATAAGCTTTCAGATAATCTGCAAATCAGAAAACCTCCACTATAAACTGAGTTACAAGAATTACATTTTAATTTGACTGTCTGGAAGTAGAATATACTTTTCCCATTGAAATGTTTCAGACTAAAATACCAAGTCTCTAAAACTACAAAGAGTTCAAGTCCCCCCATGTCAACCTAGCATCCAGGGCAGTGGCTGTCACAACGTAACTGTACTTGTCAGGCAAAAGGTACAGGAATTAACCACCTCCATAGCTATGTGTGAAAGTAGAGTCAAAGGCTGGGGACAAAACCTCAGGTAGAAAAGTGCCGGAGTAAGACTGCAAGGATAAAAGGCAGCAGGGGAGCTGTCTGGCTCAGTGGAATAAAAGAGCATCTGGAGCAGGAGATCGGCAAGGACATTAAGTGTTCCAGTCCTACCTGAGTAAGTGGAAGAAGTCTGGCAACCACACAGGGAAATGGGGGCACCCTAAGTAGGAAACCATGATGGAGGGATGAGACAGTGCGAGAGAGAAACAATGCCTAGCTAGTTTTGAAAACCAGAGGGAACCATATTACTCCTACAACCTCCTGACAAATTATACATAGCAGATCAAGAAATATATGTCTAGGTAAGGTTTATCTGAGAACAATTGATCTTTGCCCAAGATTTATCTACATGAAACACAGTAATTAAAAATACCAGACTGGTGAAACTAACCTTCTTGGGTGTTTAACAGACATACTTTGAAGCCTATAATAATTTGATCAGGGGGACATAACGGATACTTTTTGCTCCTTGCCCTTCTAGGTCAACTAAGTTCCAGGGGACTATGAGCATTTCTCAAAATGTCCTGTAACTGTGGTGAGTCACCAGTCCTCTTGATCAAGGAGGCCATGGAGACCCCACCAGATGGACTTGAACAAGTGTCCAGTCTACAAAGAGGAGGGTCAACAC